GGTCTCTTCAGTCTTCCTCTGCTCCAGTGTGGTGTCCCTTTCACAGGAGACAGTCCTTCACAAAGTTTTTCATTGTGAGTCCTTCCCACAGAACTGCAGCTCTTCCCAAACTGCCACAGTGTGGGTCCCTCCCATGGGCTATAGTCCTCCCAACGATGGGTTGCAGCAGTGTGGGCTTCACTCAGAGTCATGGAATACTTGGGGTGCAGTCCCCTGCTCTGATGCGGTGTCCTCTACAGGCTGCAGGCAGGAAACTGCTCCCACCATTAATCTCCGTGGTATGCAGAGGGACACCCTGCTACCTCACCACGGGCTGCAGCAGAATCTTTCCTCTGGTGCACCTCTTCCCCTCCTTCCTCAGTGACCACGGTGTCTGCAGGGTATCTCCTCTCACATCTCCCTCCTCTCCAAAACAAAAAACTCCCCAGAAGGGATTTGCCCCGCAAGTTTTTCCCCTTTAGATATGTGTATTACAGAGGTGCCGATCGAGTCTGTCTTGGACAGAGCTGGGTCTGACTTACAGACACACTTGCTCAAAAGCAAGTAGTTGAAAGCAGACCTCTGAAGTAGTAACTCAAGACTGTGCTTTTGACTGGCATGTTAAGGGGTATTTCTGGTTCTTAGACTTCCTGCCTCTTGCTTAAGTGGTCACAGGGTCTGAAATGGAGTTTAAATGTTAGTTGGAATATACTAGCTGGATTGAAATTTTTGAGAGAGATTTTTTGATCTTCTGTGATCCACTGAAATTTCAGTGTTAAGTGTTGACATAGCACAGTGGCTTGATAGGTTAAGAGATGAGTCAAATTATTAATTATTTTTTTCCCTAGTTTTTGTTACATACTAGTCATGTCTTAAAACATATGAAGCATAAGCTTGCTTAAAATTCTGTAACTCTAGCTGTAGGTCTAAACATGACTATTGTAAATAGAAACTCCACTTGAAAGGATTAAAAATGGGAGCTATGTGACAATATCTTCTAGGCTTTCAGACTTTTTCCTGGGATTCTGGCTTTTTTGCTGTCAGGAGGCAGTATTTTGACCTCATGTCTTGGCATGAAAAAAGCTCCATGCCACATTGCAACTGTGCAGTGTGCCGTTGGGCTGTTCTGGACAGTGGGTCCTCTGCAAGCTAATGAGGGTAAATGTTACAGTAACTTATGTCCAGTGGTGTGCTAAACACTGGGCAGTTCACCTTTGGCTGTTGCTGTGGGACATGACTGAACTGGTCATCACTGAGGAAATATATGTTTACAGTGTAGTCTACAGACAGTATCCAAGTCCTGTTGATTTTATACATGTAATTTAGCTAGTATGTTGATTTAAAGTTAATATGAATGATTTCTGGTAAATACGTAGTAAAGATTTCAGGGACACTCTGAAGAGAAGTCTGAGGTATAAGGCATTTGCCAGAGTTTCACATTGAGGAGTTTGTCTGGAATATACTGTCAAATCCACAGTGAATCTTAGGTGATAAAAATAATTACCTGTACTTTAATGTACTTTCTGGTAACTTACCCTCCAATAGGAAAGAGGCAAAAGTTTAAATTCAAGTCATTTAACATCTCTCAGTAAATACTGTATATTTCAATGGTGTAATTGTATCATTTTCTATTGCTTGAAGCAAAAGGGGATGTGTTAAAACTGCACTCCAGTGAGTCTTGCTGTCTTCTGGCTTTTAAAATATGCTTTGTTAGTAGACAGTAGCTTACTGAATATAGCACTCTGCACTAGCAGTCTGAGAACACTGTTCAGGTAACTTTTTGCAGAAGTATTAAGATCTTGCAAAACTTGACAACCTTGCTATTATTTTTCAAAGTCTGAATACGTTATTTTTGTTCTATATATGCCTAGTTAATTTGATTTAGGTAGTTTGGGGGTGTTGGCTGATGAGAAGCTCAACATGACCCAGCAATGTGTGCTCACAGCCTGGAAAGCCTAGAGGACAGGCTGAGAGAGTTGGGGCTGTTCAGCCTGGAGAAGAGAAGGCTCCGGGGAGACCTTACAGCGGCCTCCCAGTGCCTGAAGGGGCTACAGGAAAGCTGGGGAGGGACTGCTTACAAGTGCATGCAGTTATAGGATGAGGGGTGATGAAGATAAATTTATATTAAATGTAAGGAAGAAGTTCTTCATTGTGGGGGTGGTGAGACGCTGGCACAGGTTGCCCAGAGAAGCTGTGGATGCCTCATCCCTGGAAGTGTCCAAGGCCAGGCTGGATGGGGCTTGGAGCAACCTGGTCTGGTGGGAGGTGTCCCTGCCCATGGCATGGGGTTGGAACTACATGATTTTGAAGGTCCCTTCCAACCCAAACCACTCTATGATTCTATGAATTTCCAGTGTAACTTAAATGTCCTGAACATATGCCCAAACTGAAGTTTCAGTTATAAAAATTTTCATTAAGCAGAGCAGAAGCCACAGTAGTAGGTAGCTGCTTGAAAGAGGATTTTGATGGGTGCAGCTTGGATCATCTTAAATTGTTCCTCTTTTGAAATGTTGCAAAAGCAGCTGTTGGTTTGGTAGACTGCTCACAAGTCTCAGTGTATGCAATTTGCCTGCATACCTTAAATGAGATTTTTGAACTATTCACTTCTCAAATCCTAGTGAAGTATTTCTTTACTGTCCTAGAAGATAGGGAGGAAGGGAAAGCTTGCGCTCTTTTGTGCTGTTACTAAGCGTGATACCTTGATTAAGGGCTAAAAGAAGCTGCAAGTCTTTTGTTGTAACTTCAAGAAGTTCCTATTTTGACTTGGAGATGACTTTGGCTGGGGGAGAACTGCCAGACAATTCTTTGTGTAGGGCTGCATACAAGTGGTTGAGTCTTAATTGTGGTTGAGCGCAATTGAACAAAACCAGGAGCCAGCCACACTTAATGTGGCCACTCAGCCTTTGGAGTAAAATAAAACTCTTCCATGCTGTCCGCAATGTGAGAGAACTAAAGAAAACTTGAATATGGAATATAGATGTTATCGCTGTAGATGAAAGCCTGCCATGTCTACAGGAAAAAAGACAGCAGTATTTTCTTCTCTCACTTTTTTTGGGTGGTCTTGAAGGACTAGAAATTGGTAGTATAATTTTGTGTTGTTTCAGAGGTTTTTCAAATAGTGGTGGCAGGCTAAATGGAACATGATATTTGGATGCAAGGGAATATTCTAAAACTCAGAAAGAGGGTGAACTGGGGACTGAAGCATATCTTGAAGTACTGTCACGTAGGTACTTCAAAAGGTATCTTAAATGTTGACAGTGAGTTTGAAGGTACTAATCAGAAAATAATGGAGAAAACTACATCTAACATGTACAGAACTAACTACAGAGCTTTGAAGATGCACTTTAATGCTTTTGAGAAGAACTGATTTCGGTGGCCTGGGTGACATGAGTCAGGGAAAGATTTTTTTTTTTTAAATGTGTAATGAACATGGTGAGGGACATGAGCAGGTATGGAGGCAGAGCAGCTACAGGAACAAAACTGGATACATACCTGTGCTCTCTGCAAGCTGCAGAGACAGAAGTGAGCGTGTGTTGCAGTTAAACACGGGAGAGACTCTGGGAGGTGAAAAGTTGTACAGAAACATGCGGAACTGAAGCCATTTTGGGGGAGGGGAGGGAAGGAGGAACGTGTGGTATAGCAGTAACAGAACTGTTGTATACCTTGTGCTTCAAGGTTTGTGTCTTAGGCAGGAAAGGTAATGTATTGTGGTTTTAACTGACTGTGTCAGCTTGTGAGAGCTTTCCAGTTTCTAAATGCTGGCTATGATAGAAATAAAAGCAATACAGATTTAGGTTGCATTTAAAAAGCTACAAAAATCCTAGTGAAAATCATAAGAGTTTAATGATTTCGTGGTATTGGCCTCTCGGTTTATCTTGGCTCTTCCCTTTTTGATGTATTCTAACGCCTCTTCAGGTGCTGTGAAAACTGCTTGAAACCTTTTTCAGGTAGTCTTACGTTATGTAAACTTATATAACCCCTTCTAAAACACGTTTGTTTTTCTGGCTCTAACAGTAATGGCTTTCAAAATCCAGCCTCCTTATGTTAAACATCATATAGATCATGCTTTAGAATCAAGGCAACTGGAACTTGAAAGAGACATCGCTTCTGATTAAACTTTTTTTTTTTTTCTTTTCCTGTTTTGTCAACAGATTGATTTACTTGGATTGGTTGCTATGAACATTCAGCATACTTTCTATAAAAAGCCTGTGGTGCTACAAAACTCTACTGGTGTTTGTAGCTCCAGAAGACTTGCTCATATAGTTATAGGGTGTTGACTTTAACAATGATTAGAATTTACTGACTCCTTAGTTTTGGGGTTTTTTTGCGACAGTTTGTAATTGAATATTAATACAATGAATGGCTGATAATGAGCACCACATATGTGAACAAACTAATTCTGGGGTTTATTTTTTTTGCAGATAACAGTACAGACTTCTGGGCAACGGATGTGAAGTGGTTTTCATTACTGGAGAGCACGAACTGGCTAGACATCATCAGGTGTGCTATATCTGTAACTTTCTGGGTTTCTGATTGTTGTTAAATGCATTCGTAGTGGGTTTTCTAGCTAGTTTCTTGAAATATGACAGCATTCTTCACCTCCAGTAGGAAAGAAAATTAAGACAGTCTTATGATCCCATTTATGTGGTCCCATCTTATTTCTACAACGTGAGACAGTGTTTTTACAGTGCAGGTTTGTGTTAAGCCTCCCACGTTAAAGGATGTGAGAAGCAGCAGATCATTCCAATTACAACTCTTCCAGCAAACCTATTAAAACTGTAGATCCAGTAATTTCCTCCAGCAGTTAGTCACCTTCTTTCCAAACTGAAGAATCCTGTTTGTTTCTTGCATGAAACCTATTCCGTGTCTCTGACTAGCCTTGCCGTTCTTCTCTGTACTCTCTACTTCTGTAATATCCTTTAGGACGGGATGAACTGCAGTATTCAAGATGTTAGCCCAACAAAGATTTATAAAATGACAGTTGTTCTCAGTTTTGTCCCCTTCCTCTCCTGATTGTTCCTCAAGTTCTTTTTTCTTCTCTCAGCAGTCCACAGTGAGTAAGTGTTGGAATGGTGTTGGCTAACTTAAGACTTGTTATAGTGGAATGTTGAGAGGTTTTACTTGTTTCAGTGTTACTTTGTGCTAATTTATTGTCTGCCAGTTTATTCTGTGATATGCTTGTTACCATGAAGTGCTTCTGCAGTCCTAGGCAGTTGGCATCATTTTTTTTCTAGTCTTAATAACAATCAATAAATATTTACTCATTCCTAAATCCGGAATTTAAATATATGTTGAATAAGCAGTTCTAATGAAGATCACGTGTGGAGAAATCCATTGACATAACCAAGATCACAAACAGCTTCAAGTAAATGCCAGCCCAAGTTCCTGTGCTTGTGTTGTTCTGAGACTGGTCATTTCCATACTTGGATCCAGTTGCTTCCTGGATCAGCCTGTTCTTGGCTCTTGCAGTTAGTAGGAATGCCTTCTCAGCTATTCTAGATGCTAGAACAAAGAATCTAACAACTCCACACTTTGGAAATACTGTCAGCTTCTATTAGGGACCTAAGCAGTTGCAACAATCCTAATTTGTGTGCAAACTTCCACTGAAAATAACCGAGTTTATAGTTTTATGTCATCTTTAATTCTACTCAGTCTTCCTTGTGTAATGATAATCTCTGAATTAATTCTGTATGCATGTTTAGAAGATCTGACTTGCTGATCCTTCCCTCCTAAAACCAGATTATGAGAGAAATGTAGTGTGTAGTAGATTAGAACATAAGTGTGGTGATGTTGATTCTTCCCAGGACAAAGATCTGGCTCTTAACAATTGTAATAATTTAATATGTGTGTGTGATGATTGTTGTTCATCCAGAATAAAGTATTGTAGTACAAACATACAAAGATAATAACTGGAAATGCATGACCAATTGCCAAATAATGCCTCTTGAAAGTTTGCTGTTGTGGCTAAACAGTTCTTCATTTACCCAAGTTTAGCATAGTTGTTGTTTTAAAGGAGTGTTAAAGTTTCAGCAGTATGACGTTCTAGCCCCTTTTAGGGGGAACCAATCTAAGAAGCGTAATTGTAAAAATGCTATGAGAATGTTCACTTATCTTTTCCTGTACCACGACAGGCGAGTCTTGAAGAAGGCTATAGAAGTTGCTGAGTGTCTGGAAAGACAGCATACAAATGTTCTCCTTATAGGTAAGAATTTAAGGAGATTTTCCTATATAATTTTTAAACTTTTCTTTTGAATTGCTTTAGATGTAGCCTAAGCTTTATGTGTATAATTATGGTAGAGGTTGGTAAAATTCATGGAGTACTCAAAGTACCAAGCATCTAAATCTCTCACACTCCCAAACATGCTTCCTGTAGTTAAAAAAACACAGTAAGCGTTGTTCCAAGTGAAGAGAAGTATGCTGCGAATGCAAAAGCTGCTGATAAATCAGCAGGAGTGTCATGCTACCTTTTGTACCACCTTACACATTCCTGTTTCCTAACTTATTATATTAAATGTCTCGTAGACCTTTTGCTGTACTTTAAGGGGTGAGTACACCTACACAAAGAACAGAGGATTTTTGTTCTAGATACACACTGAATATTATGAAGTCTCTTTATTAAAAGTACATGAAAGAGTACAGTTTTTGTAGACATCTGGAGCAGTTTGTTTTCCTAGGTTGAGTAATCACATGGAAAACTAAACTCATTGTTGATCATTAAACTATTTTTGGATTACTAATTTAGTTGGGTTTTTTTACACACTGTCATTTGAGAAACCTAACATGGAGAAGAGATGTTTCCAGAAGGCACCCAAAGGTTGAGGTCTGCATGAGGAGGAGGGGCAGTGTGTGCCTTGTGGGGAAATGAAGGACATAAGCATCAAGTGGTAAAGTTTGGTTTTTTTGCAGGTTTTATTGTCAAAGTATTATTCTGGTGTAAGCATGCAAGAAACCTTACATTTTTACAAAGAGGAGTATTGCAAACATGAATTCATTTCTCTCTGATGGTATAATACTTGCAAGAAACTGTGCTTTTCTGATCTTGAAATACAATTTTGTTTACACGAATCTAGCAATACCTTGCTTTTTTAACAGAAGTTCTGGGAATGGCATAGTAGACTATGTTGTTTCTCTTTTCTTCTGCAGAAGAGAGTGCTACTGATCTGTGCTGTGTAATCTCTAGTCTGGTTCAAGTGATGATGGATTCGTACAGCAGAACAAAGTCAGGGTTTCAGAGCCTTATTCAGAAGGAGTGGGTAATTGGAGGACATGGCTTTTTGGATCGTTGCAACCACTTACATAAAAGTGACAAAGAGGAGGTATGATTTTTTTTTTTTTATGTATTACTTTCCTTACTATTTGGAAGTTTACTTGGCATAAGGAGAGACTTAGATGTCAGTTCCAATAGCTCTGAGAATCTTTAATATTAATGGTTTGTTTTATGATTTGACATTTTATACAGTGTCACTATTTCTGCTGTTTAGAGTTCAGCAACGTCTTTAACTAGAGAACAAATACAACATTTCCCATTCAGTTTGGGGGTCTTTTGAAAGATATGTATCTCGTATCCTTTGAAACTATGTTACATGGTATTAATGCCCATAGAAAAAAAATCAAGTGAATTGCCCATTCTTATCACATCTAGATTTTTTTCTGTCTTGCTACATATTGCAGGCTAACTTCTCCATATTTTTGGGGGGGCAATAGATCAAATCGCTATAGAGAAAGGGAATCTGTGAACTGACTAGTTCTGATCAAGAATTGCTATGAACTAGTTTGCTTTGCCAACTTCAAAAGGCTGCATAGCGCCACTTTCATAGCAAGTTAATACATGCAAATTCAGGTTAGAAAGTGTTCGTCTCTTCTGTTAACAATGGGCCAAGGGTAGCTCAGATGATACTGCTTCAGGTTTCAAACAAAGCTGTATGCAGCACTTCTGCAGTTATCCAGACTCCTTTCTTAAATACTTGCACTTGGAGACGCTAATTACTATAACATAGATAGTTTACATGGTGGAACTTTTTTTTTTTCTGAAACGGATGCAATTTTTCTTTGCCTAGGCTCCTGTTTTTCTGCTCCTGCTAAATTGTGTTTGGCAGTTGGTACAACAGTATCCTCCAGCATTTGAGTTCACAGAAACTTACTTAACTGTCCTGTCAGACAGCCTCTACGTGCCTATTTTTAGCACTTTCTTCTTCAACTCGCAACATCAAAAAGACACTAATACGGTAAGGGTTTGTTATTTTGTGGATGCAGTGTGTTGGAGAACAGGTTTCACCAACAAGCAAGGAGCACTCAAAAATAATTCCCCATACTTATGGAAAGGATGATGCCTTGAAGGGTGAATGAGCGCAACTTGGTGTATAAGGAGCCAGGCTCAGGACTTGGTTCGTGATGACAAAAGGAGAATAACCCAGGAATACGTAACTTCTAATGTGTGGCTATAGATTCATATTTATTGCTCCTCAGTGAAAATGGAGCTTCTTAAACTAATAGAAACTTATTCTGCAGAATAGCAGGATATATCTGCAAAATTCTTGTATACTATATGCTGTTGTATTCCAAAATCAACATGTCCTAAATGTTGATTTGCATTTGGTTCATGCTTTTCTTTAGATGTAGAAGCTGGAAGCAATGGAACTATACTGTGCAAGGCTGCACAGAAACTTAAAAAAAGTGATGTCTTCCACATAAAGAAAGCATTGATCATAAAATTTAAACTGGTAGCACCACATAACTGCAGTTAACTTTTGAAGTTTGGAGAGTTTTATTCCAGAATCCCAACATGTCCCCTGCATTTCAAAAATTCAACTGTCTATCTCCTGCTCAATTTTCAAATGTTTATTTTCTCTTTAGGTTACCTAATCTTATTTTCAACAGTGAAAAGCTGTCTTGGTGCTGTCTAGTTCCACTTTCGAAATAAAAAACAGTATGAAGTTACAGATAATACATAGATAGCCTTTGTGTCTGTACTCAGACACAATCTAATCTAATAATGTTGTTCAGCTATTGAATACATAAAAATCATAAGTGGTGTTGCAATTCTATGGCCTCTTCTGTGAAGAGCTAGTTTCTTAATTTCAACTTGACTTGGTCAAAATTCCTTTCTAGCAGTATTAATTGTGACCTATTTGTTTTGGCAGAGTGGTGAAAGCCTCAAGACACAAAGTGGTCCTTTCAGATTTCTTACTGTGTGGGACTGGTCTGTGCAGTTTGACTCCAAGGCCCAGGCTTTCCTGAACAACCCTCTTTATGCAGAGAAGCCAAAACCAGATAAAAGTCAACGGAAAACTGCACGATTCAAAGTAAGATATGTGCTGGGGTTTTTTCTAAATAAAATTTTGCACAACTTGTACTTCAAACTCAGAGTGGCAGTATTCGTGCAGAGTTTTTAATAAACAAAATACATGTACACCTCAGACCAATCTGAAATAAATTTGCACTCACCTCAGTAACAAATTACTATTTTACATCTACTGTGCCTAACTGTGCACTTAGGGGTGTTTTTCTTCATGCTTTTGTGCAAGTGTAATGATACATCATGGGACTTAAAATCCAGGTGAATTGCACTGACATGTTTGAAAGTGAGATTTTATTGTTATGTGGACTACCTAACTGAAATACATAGCAGGTTTAGAATTGCTCCCCTAACTTTGAGTGTAATTAGAGTGTGTGTGTGCACACTTGGAGTGGGACCAGAACAAAAACTAGGGTGTGGAGGATTATGGGTGGACCACTGATTACTGGCAAGTAGCACAAATTCAGTAAGAAAAGTTTGTCTGGAGTAGCCTCTTTTGATTGTAATATCCACGTTGGTTAAATTCTGTTCTGTACAAAGCATTCTCAAGTGAAATGCTGTCAGTATGATCTACAGCATTAATCAGAGAACTTTTACGTGGTGGGATGCAATGAGGAACCACTGGATTAAAAACTGCCAAATCAAGTATTCTTTGATTTGTGTGGCTAGCTTAAACTAAACATGGAAGTCTGTAACACTTGAATGTATGCGAAGAATTCTCGTTTTTCAAAGAAAAATGTTTTATTCAGTGTTACTTCATTGCTCTAGTTACAGTGCAGGAAAGATATCTGGGAATACTAAATAAGTTGTGTGAAATATTTGATGTATTAGCCATTTAAGAGTAATGATTTTTGGCTATATAGCAAACCAGTGGCTGTTTTTGAGTGACTATTGCTTGTAAGTATTTTCTGAATACTAGCTATGTTTAACTTCCTCTTAAGACATTTTATAAAGTACCCTCAATATTTATCTTGGTGTATTTTTCTTTTTCTTTTCTCTTAAAGCATCAACGGCAACTGTCTTTGCCATTGACACAAACAAAATCTTCCACAAAGAGAGGATTTTTCAGGGAGGAAACAGATCATTTAATTAAAAACATTCTTGGTAAAAGAATTGGCAAGTTCATAAATTCTTCAGATGAACTTCCTAATAGCTTCAGGGAATTTTATGATGGCTGGCATAGTAAACCTGTTGACTACCATGGTCTTCTGTTACCTCGCATTGATGGGCCTGAAATCAAAGTCTGGGCACAACGGTATTTACGATGGATTCCTGAAGCCCAGCTTCATGGTGGTGGTACAATAGCCACAGCTGCCAAGATTTTGGACTTGATGGAGGAAGTACAGAGCTTGCAGGTGAAAATGGATGAAGAACATAGTCAAGCTATTTCTGGAGATCTACGTTCTGCTCCAGTGCTGAGTAATTCTGCTCGTTTGTCATCCCTGTTTCCATTTGCTTTACTTCAGAGACAGTCTATCAAACCAGCTTTACCCACCAGCACTTGGAAAGACTTGGAAGATGAAGATGACTTGGTGAAGAGGGATGATGAATTTGTTGATCTGAGTGATGATATGCCATAAAGTGTATATAAATTAAAGTACAAATTATGTGTGGCTAAGCTCTGAATTTTAAATGTTGTGCTGTATCCCCATAAGGAGCTCACTCAAGCATCTTCAGCCTGTTCAATAGGTTTGTGGAGTTAAAAAACCAAAACAACCCTTGGTTGGAAAAAAAAATAGTTGCCATGATTAACTGAGCATATTTTGAACTTCTGTTTCATTATAATGTTTATTGCAGAAACACATTTTTAGCATAGGTATAATGAAAAGAAGTTTAGGCTGGAGTAGCCATATGGCCACTTTTTTTTAAAAAAGGAAAAACAATCAACAAAGCCGTGTTATTTTCTGAAGTGGAATCCTAAATACATATAGCAACAATTACTGTCCTAACATAAAACCTTTTCACTTTACACTAAGAGTACTAGGATTGCAAGTATTGCAACTAGGAATACAATACATCTGCATTTCCCTGTTGTGTAAAATAAACAGAGAAAGGCGCAACTAAATGCGCATTGGCAAGTCAGCTTTTTACAGCTGAGGAATAAACTTGTAGTCACCGGTCTGCTGTGGCATTGACTGAAGTGATGGGCTTGTTCACCTCACCTTCTCTGACACTGTCCACCCTCGGCTTGCAGCACTTGGCCTCGTGTGGTATGATAGTAGCGGCTTGGCTGCTCTAAGCCCGTGCATGCATTTAGCTTAAGGATCAGATGCAAGAGCTCAAGTCTTACTGTGTGGCTGCTGTGCTATATGCCCTTGCTGCCTTGGAATATTAAGTCCCAAATTATGTTAATTTTAAGAAGTTACCTGACTGTGAGATTCTAATTTGCCGTGAGTATTTCTTCTCTTAGTAGAGTGAGACTTGTTTTGATTTTCCCCATTTATGCCAGTTGCCTTTGAGGCTTTCTGTAGCTTGCACTGAGACCCTCCACATAGAAGGGAAGACTCTCTTTCTGTAATCCTGCATTGACGCTGGATTTGCTGTCTGTCGCCACTTGTCATGAGTTGGTGGTACAGCTTATGAATGTGGCGTTCACACCATATGAACACTTGCATCCTGTTGCTGGATGTTCTAACATTACCTCAGTGAAAAAAGCCATAAAGAAATGCCTGTTGACTTTGATCTACTGTGTGTATGTTTATATATAAAGTATTTTTACTGCAAATAATCATCCTTTATAAAGCTGTATATTATTTGACTGTCAAATCTATTTTGAGCCCTTAAGTTGTAGAGTACTCCAAGAATGGATGCAAGTCCATCTGTTCAGTTACACTGAGAAGATGGACATTGAATCTTTTCTCTATTCTCATACTGACTTAGAAATCCATGCTGGAAAACTTAGCTGATGGATAAACCGTTGCTTAAGTTGAATCAGCTCAGTGTAGTTGGGGATATTAAACTGCATTACTGATTAATCACTTTGCACTGAGTTGTATTATTATGCATAGCAAAAGATTATCAGCAGCCCTCTAAAAGTAAATGTAATATGTTAAAATAAATGTACTAATGGAGAAATGGGGAGAGCTTAATGCAACTATGCCAAACTTGAAGCTTCCCAATTCTTGATTGCCTTAAGACTTAGTAGTGTGAGGACAATACTTGAGTTTGTAGTGTTTTATTTAAAAATACACTAGTACTTTCACTTTCTTTTGTGATACCTATGATCTTACAGAAAGCACTTGCTAGAATGGACTGTCCAGCATGTCCTTTACACTTTATTATTGTAGTTCAAGTGACTCATGTATGCAGTAGTACTTGGCATGTTGAATGAGCAATGCAATTTACAGTGAAGAAATATCTGTCATTCTAAGGTCATCTGGGTTCAAGTTTGGTTGGAGTTTGTTTTTTGGGTTGCTTTTTTTTTTTTTTTCAAACATTGCCGTTAGAAAAAAATATTAAATGGATTTTTCTATGCTTTTGATCCAACTGTATTAATGTTTCAGTGCAGATTATGTATTTATATGAAATAACAGATGTTGGACATCTTATTTGTACATAAATTATCAGAAATTTATATAGAAGAGAAGCATATATGTGGAATTGAACATGGGAACACTTCTAATGTAGAATAAATACAGTTGTTATTGATTTTCTGCACTGTGGGATTGGAAAAGTACTTAATATTTTTACTCCATGCTTCTGTTTGTACCTCCATGTTCTTACACTGAATGCAAGATAGAAGCTTCACAGGTGTGGTTGTTTGGTTTTGTTTTTTTTTTTTCTAATACTGTCATTTCTCTCTAATGGGCTGTTTGGAGTCAATAAAATATACTTTCATGTATTTGTACTGAAATGAGAATGTATCTTTAAGGTTTTATTTTGCAAATGATGCTTTAAGTCATCGTAAACTTGACAATCTGCAGTGACAAGACTTCTCTAGTTAGGCGCTGGGATTTTACCACTGTTACAGGTAGGAGGCTGCAATTTTGACCTGGTTGTACTTAACAGAGGTACTGTCAGCTCAAGAAAGTTCAGTACAGTGTGATAGGATGACTATGGAAGGTTACTGAGGTGGTCTAGGAAGTGTCTGCTGAATGTCAATATTACAGGGTTTATTAAACACTTTCAGTCTTAGCAATGTATTTGTCTTCCCCCATTTCAAGGGGGAACATTGTTCTTACACAGTGTTAAACTGTGCATCCTCTTGGAATTACTACAGCGAGCTGTTTCTCAAAACAAATATATATTGAATGTGGATTGGGAGGTGGTCACACGTCCTGGTTTTGGCTGGGATTGAGTTGATTTTCTTCCTAGTAGCTGTACAGTGCTGTGTTTTGGATTTACTGTGAGAATAATGTTGATAACACACTACCCAGAGGGTAGTAGTCAATGGCTCTATGTCCAAATGGAGATGGGTGACAAGTAGTATCTTCAGGGGTCCATACTGAGACCAGTGCTGTTCAATATCTTCATCAGTATCATGGACGGTGGGATTGAGTGCACCCTCAGCAGTTTTGCAGATGACACCAAGCTGTGCTGTGCAGTAGTCACGCCAGAGGGATGGGATGTCCTCCAGAGGGACCTAGACAAGTTGGAGGAGTGGGCCCATGTGAACCTCATCGGGTTTAAGAAGCCAAGTGCAATCCTCATTATCAGTACAGGCTAGGGGGTGATGTGATAGAGAGCAGCCCTGCAGAAAAGGACTTTGAGGATATTGGTGGACGAAAAGCTGGATGTGAGTCACCAATGTGTGTCTGCAGCCCAGAAGGCCAATCACATCCATCACATCCTGGGCTGCATCAAGAGAAGCACGGCCAGCAGATCGAGAGAAGTGTTCTGCCCCTCCTCTCTGCTCTGGTGATACCTCACCTGGAGTACTGTGTCCAGCTCTGGAGCACCTCTCCTGCAAGGACAGGCTGAGAGAGTTGGGGCTGTTCAGCCTGGAGAAGAGAAGGCTCCAGGGAGACCTTATAGAGGCTTTACGGTACCTGAAGGGGCTACAGGAAAGCTGGGGAAGAATTCTTCATCAGGGAGTGTAGTGATAGGGCGAGCAGTAGTGGTTCTGAACTAGAGCAAGGTAGAGTCAGACTAGATGTGAGGAAGTTCTTTACTATGAGGATGGTGAAGGACTGACTCTGATTTCTATGATTCTATGATTTCTATGATTCTATGATTTCTATGATTCTATGATTTCTATGATTCTATGATTTCTATGATTCTATGATTTCTATGATTCTATGATTTGATTTTTGGTTAGAATATGCAGTGAATTAAACTGTATGACATTAATTGCTATATAATCCTGCTGCTGTATGTCATCATTACTATAGCTGTTATATGCTCTATCAAGGGTATCACTTAGATGAATGAAGAACAACCTGTGATAAAGCTGAGCAAAGTGCAGCAGTGATTAAACCAGAATTGAATTCAACATGCAACAATTCAAGGCCTCACACCATCCTCGTGCTGTTGCAAGCACCACTCATTGTGCATTACTTGTCTTAGGCTTTATTTCTCTTTTTAAAATTATTCCTCTTTTATTATTCCTTTTCATTACAGTTATTATTTTTATATTTAACTGTTATTATTATATTTTATATTAGTTACTAAACTGTTCTTATCTCAACCCATGGTTTTACTTATTTTTTTTGATTCTCTTCCCCATCCCAGTGGCAGGGAGAAGGGGGATGAACAAGCAGCTGCATGATACTTAGTAGCCAGCTGGGGTTAAATTACATCACAGTAAGCCATTGCATGTTACTAGCCTGTGTACAAAAACAGCACTAATGCAAATCACACATTGAAAAATCATGCCACTGCAGATATTTCCTAAAGAGAACATTACGAAACTGTGACAGACTTGTTCCTGAAGTCTTATACAGAAGTGGCTGTGAAGTGCCAGGTCATGTTGTAACGCAATCACAAAGCGTGCCTCTGCCTCACCTACATCTTCTAAAGATCAGTGAGTGTACTTTGACCATTTGGCTTTAAGATTGTGCTCACTAATGACAATGTTCAGCTATTGATGTAAGAATATGGGAGCGCAAACATGTACTTTATAAACACATGGCCAGCCAACTTGGCCTCCTGATCTCTTTTTTGTTCCAGTTAAAGCTTTTTCCATTCATGGTTAAAGTACATTTTTCAGGAGGTAGTAGAATACTCTCTCCTGTGGAAGTCTTATGATGGATTAGTTTTGTCCCACCAGAGGTTACCTTCATTCTAATGTTTAGCTGGAAACTTCACATGCAGTATTTACTGCCTGGTACTCTCTTAAAAAAAGCTAGATTTTGCATAAAGCTCTATTTAGAAATTATGTGGGATGGACTTAATTTTCTGGGACAGGGAGGAGATGGATAAGTGACCTCTGTTGAGTCTAAAAAGAGCATTCTATGTACAGAACTACATATGCTCTTCCAGGATTTATTTAGTGGCTGGGAGGGGAGGTCCTTTATCTTGGTTTATAGTAAAGTTAACTTGCAATAAATGCTTTCCATCAGCATTTGCAGGATGGCAGAATTCTTACCTGGTGGGACAGCAGTTATCTGGGAAAGGAGTGGAGACAGAAGGTGAGGTTAGCTGATGTTTGAGCTGGAGGAAGTTTTGTGGGGAGGGCACCTCCACACTGAAATACAAAGGGTGTAGAAACAGAGTTGTTCATGCTATGTTAGAACATGGTAGAGGCTGCAGGCAGTTCTCAGTC